CTTGAACTCACTATGTATCCCAGGCTGGCCTCAAACAGCAGTCCTCCTGCCTCAGTCTCCTGAGTGCTAGGATCACAGGCGTGTGCCAGCAGCTTTACAGGAAGTGTTTTATCTGTAATATATATGGGACTATTCAGTTTATTTCCAGAGTGAGCTTTGGTAGTTGTGTCTTTTGAGGAATTTTCCACTTTGTCAAAATTATCTTAATTTATTGACATTAACACTGTTCATACTATTCCTTTATCCTTTTTTCTGGTACATGGGATCAAACTCAGAATCTTGCACTTTGTGAGGCAGGTGTGGCACCACTGAGCTAAATCCCCAGCTCCTTTATCCTTTTAATGTCTGTGGTATCTGTATTGATGTCATCTCTCTTGTTCCTGATAATGACAATTGGTGTAATTTGGTTTCATTGGTTTTTTTTCACTATTACTTCTCTGTTATCTGGCTGTTATTGTTTGTTTTTAATTTCTGTTCTGATTTTTGTACGCATTCTTCACTTGATTTTAGCCAAAAGGCAAGAAGCAATTTTTTGTATCCATTCTTTTGTCCCCTTTGGCATCAAGTTTTGTTCTATTTGTTCATTTTTTAGTACTGGGGACTGAACCTGGGACCTTTGCACTGAGCTACATCCCCAGCCGTTTTTAAATTTTGAGATGGAGTATTGCTAAATCCCTAAATTGCCCAGGTTGGACTCCCAATTTGTGGTCTTCCTGCCTCAGCCTCCCAGAACCACATCCAGGTTTGTTTTGTTTTTTAAACTGAGTTCTTGCTCTGTTGCCCCAGCTGACCTTGAACTTCTAGATTTAAGGGATCCTCACTTGCCTCCATACCCAGCTTAAATTTGTTGACGTTTGAATTTATTTTGCAGTGGTGCTGAGGGTTGAAACCAAGGATTTATATATGCTAAGCAAAACACCATGGAACCATCTTTCCCACCCTCCCATTTTTCTTTCTAGTTTCCTAAGATTGAAACTGAGCTCACTGATTTGTGACTTCTCTTTTTCACTATTATAGGCACTTTTCATACTGCTAGTTTCCCTGTAAGTACAACACCAGATCTTAGTCTTCCATACCTGGGAGCTTTATGTTCCATAGGCTTCTCAGGAAACATGGAAGTTGCAGTTGCGCTGTCTGTGGCTCATTAGGAGGTCCCATGTTGAAGTGTAGTAACAGATATCAAGAGCCTTCCGCAAATAAAGTTGTAAGTGCTGTGAAGATGATGAAAGAGTGGGATATTAGAGAGGATGTCAGAAAAGTACATCTAGGGGGGTACCCTGAGCTAGGACCTGAGCAAGCTGTCGCGTATTGGGCCATCTTTTCTGAGCTCTATTTCTGTTACACCACTTTCAGCCTGGATGGCCCCCTGCTAGCCTGGACCATAATTCCACTGTTTAAGGCTGAAAGCCCAAGCTTTCAGTACTCTTGTATATTCCACTCCTTTCTAGGGAGCACTGGCTCCATGTGTTAGCACTGTATGTTTGACAAGTTATTTGCCAGTTTGCCAGCAGATGGCAGCAGAGTTAATGAGGATCTAGTTATCTGCCAATTTACACAGAGGTAAAAATTTCTAATGTGCCTGTTAGCTATTTATCCTCTTGTCCTTCTCTAATAAATCAAGAGGCTTATCTTCTAAGCTTATCTCCTAAGCTTTTTCTTTTTTTCAAATCTTTCATATTTACAAAAGAATTGCAAGTATAGTACAGAAGAGTCCCGTATGCCCATGACTTACACTCGCTCACCAATTGTTAACCTTGGTCCACGTGTGCTTTGTTACTCGTTCCTTTTATAAATAGGTATGTGGTTTTTTCTGAACATGTTGAAATACTTGGGAATGTGTTTCCTTGAAACAAGAACTTTGCTGTTTCGCATAACCGTGGTATACTTACTGAATTTGAACATTCGAGCAGGCTGGGTATGGTGGAGCACATGTTATACCAGCTACTCAGGAGACTGAAGCAGGCAGAATGTAAATTTGAGACTCAGTGACAGGATGCTCCTGGGATCAATCTTCCCTACTGAAAAAAAAAATCAGGGTTGTACTTTTTATCAGTTCGTTGACATTCACATTTTTTAGTTGTCCCAATGTTGTCTGGCTATTTTTTACCCCCTTTTCTAGGGTCCAGTTGTGGGTCCATACTTTGCATTTGGGCGCTCTCCTATCTTTTACTCCCCTTTAATCTGAAAAAGTTCTTCAGCATATTTTTTCCCCATTATAGATTTGAAGAATATCAGTTATTTTGTAGACTGTTTCTTCAGCAGGTTTTGTCTGACATTTTCTCTAAAGATTCAGGCTATATCTTGGAGCAGGGTACCATGGAAATGACTCTGTCCTTCTCACACGTGTTGCTTTTTTTTTTTTTTTTTTTTTTTTTTTTTTTTTTTTT